ACATAATAACCTGTTTCACAGTGTGGTGAAGGGTATAAAAATTCGAAAAATATGTTTTCAGTTTCCATTTTTATACCCTACACAACTATGTTGTCAGGGTATTATAGCTTTGTGCAGCCCCAAAAGTTAGTAACGCCGCGAAATATTGGTCCTAGACCCACCTTTAAGTATACCGATCGTCATATCTCGACTAGCTGAATCGATCTAGACATGTATGTCCGTCCGTCTGTCCATTATAATTTGTAAACACAATACAGGGCACAGTTATGGACCAATCTTCACGGTTTATATTTAGGGGATGAAATGGACTAAAAACTTTATTTATGTCCGTTTTTCTAGTCGCTCCAGAGGCCGCAATTATGGCCCAAACATCGCGATTTTTTACATGGAGAAGGGGATATCCAAGAGGAGTGGTTGGCCTTTAAATTGACAGCAATTATATTGTCGTATGTACTAAGATCTAAAAGTTACACTTAAATATTTACAGGTGCTTACGTACTGAGATATTATTTAGTAACCCATTACCACACTAGAGGGCGTAAATATAGCGCTGATCGCTTTGAAATGTTCGATGAGGATCCAGATATGGTCAAGGATATCGGCTAAAATTTTTGGTAATGATCAGATAAAAATGTTGGAATGAAGTGGACCGAAAACTTAATTTTTTATGTTTTTTTTTCGAGTCGATATATAGGCCACAATTATAATCCGAACATCACAACACAATCCACGATGAAGGGAATCTGGACAAGTAATTATAAAGGCTGTACTCAATATTGGGAATATTCGAAAAATATGTCAGTGTAAGGAAGAGGTGCTGTTGATCTCTAATCGGGCAACTATCACGAAATATTGCCCAGGCTCAGAATAAACGTCGGCAGAAAGTTAGAGTTCCGTGGTAGTTGTGTAGGGTATCGTATGGTCGGCCCCGTCCGACTATACTGCTCCGCCCACTGGTTTTTAAATATTTTTTTTACGTTCCCATAAGGCATGGATTTTTTAAAGAATATTTTTTTAAGTTTTCTTTCTCTTCAAATTCCTTCTTCTTTGTTCGTCTTTAAAAAAATATTCTTTAAAATAATCCATCCTTGTGTTGGTCTTCAGGAAACGTTTTGATTTCTATGTATATTGAATTCAAATCTTATCGAACGCAGCAGCTTGTCATGTCACGGCGAAAGGTCGCCATGCGATTTTAAATTAGATTTTGATTATCACCAGACACTGATAACCCAGGATGTTAATTCTTGTATTTGTTTTTTTTTTTTGTTCCATAGGATGCTTAATTATATGCAAGAGTTGAAAAAGGCCAGACAACATTGACAGCCATATCACCACCTGGCCATATCCTTTGAAAAGTTCGCTTGTGAGAGTGTTAGTGTGTGTGTGTGAGTGTTTGGTGTTCCGGTGCGTTATATTCTTGGGATGACCTCGTTCGTTAAATGTTTTTCTTTTTTTCTGTTTATAGTTTTTATTTCTTTCTCCTTTTATAAACTTTTGTCGTTAGTTGGCCTTTGTCTAGTTCACTGCCGACAATGGAAACTATTTAAAAAGAGATTTCGAATCGATACAAAATATTCAAAATTCACTTTTCAAGGTAGCAACTACCGTTATTAATTAATCATTAAAGGCTAAAGGAAACAAATTTTTAGTGGGGGGATTTAGATTTGATTTTCCTTAGACCCTTCTTAAAGTCGCCCCTTTGCCGCGAAGAACCCTTTGTGTCCAACACCAATCAATCAATTTTTCAATATGAGTGTACATTTCTCAATAACAATTCTCAGTCCCTTGAATGTTTATTTTCATTATAACCTATATTTCTTGTGTGTATATACGTGTGTGTGTATGTATGTACGTTTAATTGTCATTAACTATCCTTGTGACACATTGTGATTTCATTTCATTCAATGCCTTGTCAGGTAATGAGGTGAGTTTACCTAATGTCACTTACTAGGTTCGTGGATTCACTCAGGTGGCAACACACACACACACACAAACTTCATTGTTCTTCGTCTCAATATTTGTGATAAGGTGATGACGAAGTTTCCATTGTTTTCAAATTTTACGAATTTCTTTGACCTTCAGAATTTTATTTTGCTAGCGGCGGGAATAATTTTGAGAAAGGCACTATCAGTGGAGTAAATTTAGTTTCGCATAGCAGTTAGTGACAAGGGACTGTGGGTAATCCTTAAAAATCCAATGGAACTTGAAAAAATATTTTTTAAAAAATCCACGCCTTATGGAAACTTGAAAAAATATTAAAAAACCAGTGAGCAGAGCAGTAGAGTCGGGGACGGGCCGACCATACAATACCCTACACAACTACCACGGAAATCTAACTTTCTGCCGATGTTTACATAAAAAAATATTTATTTAATTTTTTTTTTTTTTTAAATCCACGTTTTAATAAAACTTGACAAAAACATTTTTTAAAAAATCTACGCTTTAATGGGACTTGAAAATATATGTTTTTAAAAAATCCACGCCTTAATGGTTACTTGGTTTTCATACCCTTCACCACTCTGTGGTGCAGGGTATTATGTCTTTGTGCATATTTTTGTAACAGGCAAAAGGAGACGAGATAGACACATGGTTCCTTTTGAGAATATACATAGAATCACTTTCTAAGTCGATTAATTCATGTCCGTCCTTCCGTCTGTCCATGTTAAATTGTAAACAAAGAACAGGTCGAATTTTTCATTCGAATTGGATGAAATTTGGCGCAGCTCATTTATTTGGCCCAAGGACAAACCCTATTGAAATTGGGAAAAATCGGTTCAGATTTTGATATAGTTCCCATATATATTTTCGTCAGATGTTAGGAAAATAGTGCACCAAAGTCCCTATATATTCTTCGATTTGCACGAAATTTGGCACAGCGTACTGAATTAAGCCTACAGTGATGTGTGCTAAGTTTCGTGCAAATCGGTTTAGATTTCGATATATCTCCCATATATATTTTCATCAGATTTTAGGAAAATAGTGCACCAAAGTCCCTGTATATTCTTCGATTTGGACGAAATTTGGCATAGCGTACTGAATTAAGTCTAGAATGATGTATGTTAAGTTTCGTGAAAATCGGTTGAGATTTAGATATAGATCCTATATATATTTTCGTCCAATTTAAGGTAAATGGTACACCAAAGTCTCTATATATCATTTGATTTGCACGAAATTTGGCACAGCGTACTGAACTAAGCCTAAAGAGATGTGTGCTAAGTTTTGTGAAAATCGGTTCCGATTTTGATATAGCTCCAATATATAATTTCGTTCGATTTAAGGTAAATTGTGCATCATTGTCTCTATATATCTTTCGATTTCCACGAAATTTGGCACAGCGTACTCAATTAGGTCTAGAATAATGTGTGTTAAGTTTCGTGCAAATCGGTTCAGATTTAGATATAGCTCACATATATATTTTCGTCCGATTTTATGTAAATGGTGCACCAAAGTCCCTATATATCTTTCCATTTGCATGAAATTTGGTATAGCATACTGAATAAGGTCTAGAACGATGGGTGTTAAATTTCGTGAAAATCGGTTCAGATTTCGATATAGCTCCCATATATATTTTCGTCCGATTTAAGGTAAATGGTGCACCAAAGTCTCTATATATCTTTCGATTTGCACGAAATTTGGCACAGCGTACTGAATAAAGCATAGAAAGATGTGTTCTGAGTATTGTGAAAATCGGTTCAAATTTAGATATAGCTCCCATATATATTTTCGTCCGATTTAAGGTAAATGGTGTACCAAAGTCCCTATGTATCTTTCGATTTGCACTAAATTTGGCACGGTGTACTAAATTAAGCCTAAAGTGATGTGTGCTAAGTTTTGTGAAAATCGGTTCAGATTTAGATATAGCTCCTATATATATTTTCATCCGATTTAAGGTAAATGGTGCACCAAAGTCCCTATATATCATTCGATTTGCACGAAATTTGGCATAACGTACTCAATTAGGTCTAGAATGATGTGTGTTAAGTTTCGTGAAAATCGGTTCAGATTTAGATAAAGCTCCCATATATATTTTCGTCCGATTTAAGGTAAATTGTGCACCAAAGTTCCTAAATATCTTTCGATTTGCACGAAATTTGGCACAGCGTTCTGAATTAAGCCCAGAATGATGTGTGCTAAGTTTCGTGAACATCGGTTCCGATTTTGTTATAGCTCCCATATATAATTTCGTCCGAATTTAAGTAAATGGTGCACCAAAGACCCAAAGTTAGGCCCATTAACTCAACATTTTGCACAACGTACTACAGTTAAAATAACCTAGCGTGTGGATTTATTTTTTTGGAAATTGGTTCAGACTTGAATAGAGCTTCCACGCCTTTATACATCCTCGAAAAAATATTTTTCAAATAAGCCACGCCTTGATATATCCCATTTGTCCCACTGTCATGTCTCATTTCCAATCCATTTTCCATTGCATGTTTCATTTCATTTTCCGTTAGCCGCAAAAAAGGAAAATCCTCATCATTGGCGAACATAAAAACGATAATTGCCAAAAAAGCAATGGAAAAATCATGGATTTTAGTTTCAAGACATTATTGTCTGGCCTGATTGTGGCCAAAAAATCAAGGTGGCGCCCAATCGATGTGTGTGTGTGTGTGTTAGCCATGTTATTAAAAACCAAACTCAATTTCATTAGTTTTTGGTTTTTGCACTGGGTGCCATTAATTGCGGCTGGTGTTTCCTGCAATTTATTTGGCCAACCCCTCTAACACACTCCCCCAACCAGACAACATATTCACCTGCACTCCAATCACCAATCCATCAATGATTTTTATGTGAGAACAAAAAGAAATCAAAAAATAACAACAACAAATGTGTTGATTTAGGTGCACCACTTTCCTTTTTCATGTCTTAGGTCAATTTTTTCGCGCTCTCTCATTCTCGTAATTTTTAATTTCCTTAGCCTGATTTTTTTTCGAAGTGTGTGTGGCAATGATTTTTAATGTTTTTTCTTCTTCTTCTTTTTATTTTTGTTTTATTTCTAGGTTACGTTACATTTTCAAAATGGCTTTGGCCGTTTCGCTGCGCAGAGCTCTGCTAATGCTCCTCACCGCCACAATATTCGTTTTAATGGTCCTGTATTGGAATCAGGGTGGCATCAAACCTCAATCCTATATCAACACATATGAGAAATCTGTCGGCAGTCGGGAGGCGTTAAGTGAATTCCCCATGTAAGTATATAATTAATTAAGAGCTTCATTTTTTGGGGGGATTTTAATTGAATTAGTGAGGGAGAACAAAAAAAATTCTAATCCTTGGAGGACAGTTGTGAAAATAAAAAAAAAATCGGATTAATAAAAAATCGCTATGCAAGTAGCATGTTTCTGGCTGCGTGGTGGGTCATCAGCATTAAACATTTCATGATTTCTATAAAAAGATTTGAGTTCCACATTAATTCAGGGCAGCAGCTGTTCTTAGCCACACAATGGAATAATTATTAATGAATCCTTTGTCACTTAATTGAATTCCATATTTAATTACAACACGTGTATGATGACATGCTTGTTTGTTTGTTTCACAATCAAACATGTGTGACGACAGACCAGGTACAACAGCGAGGTATGATTGTTGCTATGGGAACACCGATAAGTGTGGATTCTTCAACGAATATTGTTTTAAAGGTCCACCAATAGGCGTGGATTTTTATACCCTTCACCACACTATGCTACAGGGTATTATGTCTTTGTGCATATGTTTGTAACAGGCAAAAGGAGGTTCCTTTGAGAATATGCATAGAATCACTCCCTGAGTCGATTTATGCATGTCCGTCCGTCTGTCCGTCTGTCGATATTGAATTGTAAACAAAGTACAGGTCGCATTTATGATCCGATTTGAATGAAACTTGGCACAGCTCACTTATATGGCCCAAAGACAAACCCTATTGAATTTGAAGATCGGTTCAGATTTTGATAAAGCTCCCACCAAAATCCCACCAAAATCCTTATATATCTATCGAGTTGCACGAAATTCGGTATAGCGTACTGAATTGAGTCTAGAATGACGTGTGTAAAATTTCTTGAAAATCGGTTCCATATATATTTTCGTCCGATTTAAGGTAAATGGTTCACCAAATTCCCTATATATCTATCGATTTCCACGAAATTTGGCATAGCGTACTGATTGAAGTCCAGAATGGTGTGTGCTAAGTTTCGTGAAAATTGGTTTAGATTTATATATAGCTCCCATTCATAGTATTGTCCGGTTTTAGGTAAATGGTGCACCAAAGCCCCTATATATCTTTCGATTTGCACGAAATTTTGCTCAGTATACTAAATTATGTCTCGAATGATGTGTGTCAAGTTTCGAGAAAATCTGTTCAGATTTAAATATAGCTCCTATATATATTTTCGTCCGATTTAAGGTAAATGGTTCACCGAAGTCCCTATATTTCTATCAATTTCCACGAGATTTGGAATAGCGTACTGATTTGAGTCTAGAAGGATGTGTGTAAAATTTCTTGAAAATCGGTTCCGATTTATATATAGCCCCCATTTATATTTTCGTCCGATTTAAAGTAAATGGGGCACCGAAGTCCCTTAATATCTTTCGATTTGCACGAAATTTGGCACGGTGTGCTGAATTGAGTGTAGAATGAATGGAACATCAAAGTCCCTATATATCTCTCGATTTGCATGATATTTGGGATAGAGTTCTGAATTAGGTCCAGAACGGTGTGTGCTGTTTCGTGAAAATAGCTTTAGATTTAGATACAGCTTCCAAATATAGTATTGTCCGATTTTATGTAAATGGTCCACCAAAGTCCCTATATATCTTTCGATTTGCTCGAAATTTGGCACAGCGTACTAAATTAAGCAAAGAATGATGTGTGCTAAGTTTGATAAAAATCGGTTAAGATTTATTTATAGCTCCCATATATATTTTTGTCCGATTTAAGGTAAATGGTGTACCAAAGCCTCTATATATCTTTCGATTTGCACGAAATTTGGCGCAGCGTATTGAATTAACTCTAGAATGATGTATACTAAGTTTCGTGAACATCGGTTCCAATTTATATATAGCTCCCATATATATTTTCGTCCGATTTAAGGTAAATGGTGCACCAAAGTCCCTAAATATCTTTCGATTTGCACGAATTTTGGCATAGCGTACTGAATTAAGCCTAGAGTGATGTGCGCTAACTTTTGAGAAAATCGGTTCAAATGGAAAATTTAGTATCGGTTGCAGAATGACATCTTTATGGATATGGATCCAATGTTGAATATGCCCAAAGTGGTGAAGGGTTCTTTTATTTAACTTCCTTATACTGGTTTATCTTTGGTTTTTTTTTAATATTTTTGCACTCCAAAAATTTTTATTTCATTATAATTTTTTAATTCACAGTTCACAATTTTCTTCTTCCTCACATTTTCAATGAGGTCGCAAACAATTCATATCGCATTCATGTTTCGAACACCAACGATTACGATTACCGCCACAGCCTCCATAATAGAAGGGCTTACAGCTATTCGAAGCAAATTCATACCACCACATGCGACGAGCCATGCAATGGGCACCGCTATGGCCATTGTCACGTGGTGGATAACAGGCAGGATTCCCTGGAAAGGGTACACGAAAAATATTATTTCTTTTTTCTTATATTTACCATAAATTCTTGGTAGCTTACATGGTCGTCCGGGACATTGGGCTTGGGCCACAGTCAGCATTGCAGCCAGTATTATAAAACCGCACAGAATAAGTTTCATATCGATTTTTTACGACCGCTTCGTTTGATTTCGGGAATATGTTTGAATAAATATGGGCGTCGTTCGCTTTATTTATACCGACTGTTTTATTTGTTTTTTTTTGTAAATTTTAAACAGCTTTTTTAAATAAACATATGTAAATGTAAATAAACATATGTTCCACCGTGAAATATTGATTGTGTGTATTTTTAAAGAATATTTCCCAAGGGGTATCCTGGTTATAGGTGTAGATTTTTAAATGCTATTTTTTGAGGTTAATCCAGGCTGTATAGGCGCGAATATTTTAGAGAATATTTTCAGAGGTTTATCATGACTATAGGCGTGGATTTTTTAAATAATAATTTCAAAGGTCTATCCAGGCTACATGCTCCGATTTTAAAAGAATATTTTCAGAGGCCTATCATGGCTATAGGCTTCGAGTTTTTAATGAATATTTTGAAATATTTTTCAGAGGTCCATTCAGGCTATAGGCATGGATTTTTTAAAGAATATTTTCAGCGGTCTATCCAGGTTTTAGGCGTGGATTTTTTAAAGAATATTTTCAGAGGTCTATCCAGGCTATAGGCGTGATTTTTTTAAAGAATATTTTCAGATGTCTATCCAGGTTATAGGCGTGGATATTTTAAAGAATATTTTCAGATGTCTATCCAGGCTATAGGCGTGGATATTTTAAAGAATATTTTCCGATGTCTATCCAGGGTATAGGCGTGCATTTTTTAAGAACATTTTCTGAGGTCTATCCTGGTTATATTCCCGGATTTGTTTTACAATATTTTCAGAGGTCTATCCAGGCTATAGTCATGATTTTTTTATGGTGTGGATTTTTTAAAGAATATTTTCAGAGGTTTATCCAGGCTATAGTCGTAGATTTTTTAGATTTTTTATATATATTTCGGATAATATCTTCGGAGATCTGTCTGAGGATATTCAGAGTCTAAGGATTTTTTTTTACTATAAAAAATCGTCAGAGGATATTTTTTTCTGTAACAAAAATTGTCCGAGACTGAATATTAAAAATATAAATTAAAAAAGTATGTTTATTTAAAAGGTGCTGAGTTTAATTTTTTTTGTACAGAAACAAATTTTTCAATATTTTTTTTTCTATAGAAAAAAATCGACCTCAGATCCACTGAGGTGTTTTTTTTTCTTGTTCCGGAAAAAAATAAAAAACGTGTGCCCTCTTATAATTTTGTTTTCTTATCAACATTTTTATTTTTCATATTTATTTTTTTATTAAAAACAAAAAACAACTCAACCACGCCTCTGACAGCTCCACTCACACTGACGCTTCGTACACCAACGATTGCCATTACCGCCACAGCCAGCATAAATGAAGGATCTACAGCTATTGGAGCCCTGATCATACCACCACACACCCTGTCTTACACAGCCACGGCCACCACGACCATTGTTCCGTGGTTCAATACAATTTGGACCTACTGGAAAATTACAAAATAGATTAATGACATGATTAATTTTTATGTAGGAATGTGAGAATATGAAAAAAAACTTACGTGCTCTACCCGAACACTGGCCCTCGGTCATAACTAGCATTACAGCTAGCAATACAAATCCGATCAGAAAATTATTCATTTCAATGGAAGGAATATTTGTTTGTGTTTCCAAAGATTGTGGTTCGGGTATTTATAGCAATTTTTTTGGAAAACATATTTCCCTTTCGATTATTTCGATTATGCTTTTTTGTAATAAAAGAAAACAGGTCGTACAATGCATCCAGCAAAATGCATCATTCACTTCCGCACAGATTTTTTCTATAGAAGAAAAGTTGTGAGCGTAGGGGTTTCTTAAAGAAGGGCTATATGGAGGGTTTTTTAAAGAATATTTTCGGACAGTTAATAAGGCTATGGACTATTTTAAATAATATTTTCAGAGGTCTATCAAGGCTATAGGATTGGATTTTTTTACAGAATATTTTTAGAGGACTACCAAGACTATACGCGCCATTTCTTAAAGAATATTTTCAGAGGTGTATACTGGCCAGGCTAAAGGAGTGATTTTTTAAAAATAATTTCAGAGGTCTATCCAGGCTATAGGTGAGGATATTTTAAAGAATATTTTCAGAGATTTATTCAGACTATGGGCGTGGATATTGGAATGAATGTTTTCAGATGTGTATACAGGTTATATGTGTGGATTTTTTAAAGATTATTTTCAGAGATCTATCCAGGCTATATGCGTGGATTTTTTAAAAAATACTTTCAGTGGTCATTCCAGGATATAGACAGATTTTTTAAAGAATATTTTCAGATGCCTATACTGCCTCTTGGTGTGGATTTTTAAAGAATATTTTTAGAAGTTCATCCTGACCATAGGCGTGGATTTTTTAAAGAATATTGTCAGTGGTCTTTTCTGGCTATAGGCATGGATTTTTTCTACGAACGTGATTTTTTTCAACGAATATTTTCAGAGGTCTATCCAGGTTACGGACGTGATTTTTTTCAACGAAT